GGGTTAAATTTGTTCAAACCTTTAAACGACTTCTTTTGATTTACTGAACGGCCCTGAAGCATGCTATTAGGCTGATATGTTCATAGGATAGTGTCTGACGACGTTTGCGAAAAGAAATGACCTTGACCTGTATTCAAGGTCACAGGGGTCAAATTTGTTAAAACCTTCAAACGACTTCTTCTGATTAATTATAAATCTCAGAAGCATGATCTTTGGCTAAAAGGGAAATGAGACGAAGCCCGACAAGGTTTGCAGAAAGAAATTACCTTTACCCATATTCAAGGTTACAGGAGTCAAATTTGTTAAAACCTTTAAACGCATTCTTCTGATTAACCAATAGGCCCAGCAGCGTGATATTTGGCTGATAGGTTCCGAGGACGGTTCTGACAAAGTTTGGGAAAAGAAATTACCTTGACCCATATTCAGTGTAGTGGTTTTTGTATAGTGGATTTTCAGGTAACCACTCCTGGGTTCCGTAGAATATGCTTATGACATGTATGAACATGTCACGAAAGGAAACAACGCCGTAATTATGTACAGAACGAATTTATTTACACAAAACACCCTTCGAGACGACTCCCTGACATTATACGCAACAAGCAATACACATAGGATGAAGCCTGATAAAGTTTGCGAAAAGAAAAGACCCATATTCAAGGTTATGCCTATAAGTTCTTACAGACAGCACCTGTTATTATACTTTCAATTAAGCTCAAAATATATAAGATTATGAAATGTCACACGATATTAATAATATCATCACTGATAATATGATAAAAAAATCACTATAAGGATACTAATGTTTATCGCAAATCGTAAAAGTAAATATAGGATTGGAAAAATGAAAAGTAACAAACCTGATTGAAGTTGCTTACCATCTAACTTGTATTTGTTTACTGAAGCTTTTGAATTTTAACCTACTCCAAAGTTAAGACTTTAATATTCAATATCTGCTTCGTTTCCGCGTAGCTAGTTTTCTTTTTTTTCTTTGAGCGACTTCTTCTAAAAAACTTGAAGGTCTAGGGTTATGATATTTGGCCAGTAGGTACCTGGGATGGAGTGCTATAAAGCTTCCTCATTGAAATGACCTTAACCTACTTTCAAGGTCACAGGGGTCAAATATGTTAAAAGAATTAACAATCTTAATCTCAAGTTGCATAAGGCATAGGGTCATGATATTTTGCCAGTAGATACCTGGGGTGGAGTGCTATAAAGTTTCCTCATTAAAATGACCTTAAACTACTTTCAAGGTCACAGGGGTCAAATATGTTAAAAGAATTAACAATCTTTCTCTCAAGTTGCATAAGGCATAGGGTCATGATATTTTGCCAGTAGATACCTGGGAAGGAGTGCTATATATTTTCCTCATTGAAATGACCTTGACCTACTTTCAAGATCACAGTGGTCAAATATGTCAAACGCTTCAAACCACTTTTCCTGGAGAACTAAAAGGTATAGAGTCTTTATATTTGGCTGGTGACTTCCTGATGTAGAGCCCGACAAAGTTTGAAAGTGCAAATGACTTTTACCTACTTTCAAGGTCACAGGGGTCAAATGTGTGAAACTTTTCATATGACTTATTCCGAAGAACTGAAAGGTATAGAGTCTTTTATTTTTGGCTGGTAGCTTCCTCGGAAAGACCGCGACAAAGTTTAAGGATGAAAATTACTTGGACCTACTTTCAAGGTCACAGCGGTCAAATATGTCAAACGCTTCAAACGATTTCTTCTGAAGAACTAAAAGCTATAGAATCTTTATATTTGGCTGATGGCTTCCTGGGATGGAGTCCGACAAAGTTTGAGAATGAAAATGACTTTGACCATCTTTCAAGGTCACAGCGGTCAAATATGTCAAACTCTTCAAACAACTACTCTTCAAGAACTAAAAGGTATGGAATCTTCATATTTGGCTGGTGGATTCCTGGGATAGAGCTCACCAAAGATTGCGAATGAAAGTGACCTCAACCTACTTTAAAGGTCACAGAGGTCAGCAACATTTCAAACAATTTGTTTTGAAGAACCAAAAGGAATGAATTCATAAGATTTGGCTGGTAGCTGTTTGGAATAGAGCTAACAAAGTTTGAGAAAGACAATGAAATTGACCTACTTACAATGTCACCGGGGAAAATATGTTAAACAACTTCTGAAGAAAAACCAAAAAGCATAGAATCTTATGATATTATTTGGCTGGTAGTTTCAACAGATAGAGCCGACACAGTTTGCGAGGGAAATATTTGTAGTGCAATATAATATTTAATGAGAATATTTTGTTATGGCTGCTTAAATATTCAGGTGAGCGATACAGGCCCTCTGGGTCTCTTGTTATCTCTGTGCATCAAATAAAGGTATAAATGACAATGTAATTCCAACACTGAAAGATCATAATATAATGATCTCGATTTGTGGTTGGTTTTGACATGTAATACGGTCGGAAAACTAAAGTTGGTATATATTATATTTGTCCTTTCTAAAACAATGCATTCAAAAAAGATATAACTGTTTATGTTTTTTTATAACATTTAAAATAACCACTTCCATCGGATAATAGTATAATCAAATTTACGGTGTTAAATAGGTTATTTTATAAATGACATTTTAAAACTAAAGTGTGTAGATATTATATGCAGCCAAAATGTATGTGAGCGAGAAGATTACAATTAAAATGGTAACATTCGAAAATGTCGTATGTTAATATGTCATATGTTCCTATGTAAATAAAATGCGAAACAATACAAATAAAACTTTATAAAAATGATGCATTCATAAATGTTAAATATAATAAACATAATTTGAACAATGAATAACATACAAAAGATACATACATGCACTGCATGCCCTATCATAGTATCTATTTTTAGTCGAACGTGCCTCAGAGACCATCTTTATTAAAAACACCTACGGTAATTGAATTTGTAATAATTTTATGTCTCCTTCGATATGGGACCGATTCATGGAATCCTTCAATATGGCCCCTTAATACGGATTTTACTCTATTTTTAAACATTTTACAATGTATATGTCTTTCAATGACTATGTATTTACTATGACCTAGTGCGGTGTGTGTCATATTATATTTAATAAATATATTATATAACAATAATAAATATTGAAAATAAAACCATGGAATATACTATGGTATATATAAATCTAATTATCTGAAGAATCTCCTTGAAAAGATAAAAGTTCTAAGTACGTTTTGTTGAGTTTTATTCTTTTAAAATTACTGGTATTTCCTCGTCCGCAAGGATCATTTCACTACTGTTATTATATATATCTATATCACAACTTAACATGGTTTTTATATTCATGGTATGTATTGTTTTGGAGATAACATTTGATTATCCATTTGTCAAAACTAAATTAACTGGTATAAGCTTTTGACAAACCAATGTAGCCAGGTAAGATATAAGTGTTATGCAAGCGATTCGACTACGATGTAGCCAGGTAAGATATAAGTGTTATGCAGGCTATTCGACTTCTATGTAGCCAGGTAAGATATAAGTGTTATGCAAGCTATTCGACTACGATGTAGCCAGGTAAGATGAAAGTGTTATGCAGGCTATTCGACTACGATGTAGCCAGGTACGATTAAATTGTTATGAAGGCTATGAGAGTGTGATACATGCTATGGTCACGGAAATATATATAAGTATGAGTTGTTTGAGTGTATGCCTCAAGTTTTGTAATCATGGAGGAAAAACATCTCCACCTCTATAGATATATGCAAACTAAGCTACCAAGCTAATTAAGGTTATAGGCATGTCATTTGGTTACATAATACTGTTGTTTATGTTTACTAATACCCATATACCTGGTTTGTATGACATGGTTGTGAAGTACAGCAAACGAATAATCTATCGAGATTGATTACATTTTGCAGCTTTTTGACTCCCGTAGCGCTAATGAAATCTCCAAAAATATTTTATAATTTCGTAATAATATTAATTTCATATACTATCGATATGATATACATGCACAGTTTATAACTTAAAGAGAGGGCTTTTACAGGATTTGCCAATTACACAATTCTTATTGTATGCAAAATATGAACAATAAAATTTTCCAAAATCGAGATACCCAGGTATGTATGTGTGCTCTATCATAGTGAACGAATGTTACTTAACTAAATGCACCGAAAATATGGTTCGAATCATGTGAAATATGAAGTCTTGATAAAAAATATCTTCCTTACTCCTTGCTCAGTTAACAAACTGAAATTCAGCACATACTTATCCGTATTTGTTTCTATGCTTTAGCACTGGATAAATAATTCATATATTTTTTTTAAAATTGAATGAAAGTATTTTAAATGTTTGACTACGATGGATTTCAAGAATGCATATATTTGTCATTGCGTTGTGGCCTGACTCCTGGTTCACAAGGGATACACAAATAAAACTTTTAAGTCATTTTCCTATTTCATTCAAGATTCATGAAAAGAATATGTTAGATAACAATTTTGTCATAGAAGATATTTTACTTATAATATATAATCTTAGATTTGAACACAAAAAAGTAATTAATAGATCTTCATTTACTCGTGTCGATTACGGCAGACGACCACAGTGTATCACTTTTCATTGGTTTCTTTATTTTTGAAATACTGAACTTTATTTATTTGAATAATTTTTGTCGAGTTGTTCCATAAAAAAATAACAGATTAAAAAACAAATTCAACATTTATGACAGGTAAAAATAAGCGCACTACAACAGCAGTAACAAGAGTTCGAGGAAATAGTGTTTGGGATTATTTTTTCTTAGCTGTGGATGAAGGGATAATATATATATATAAAATATAGCTCTGCTTTAGGTTTTTTAAGAGAATGACTAAGAGATTACAGCGAAATATGTAAGACTTTGGAAAAAGTATTTCTTTCAATAAAAAGAACTGAAGAAAAAAAATCGAATTTCGAGGTATCGGATGCAGTATAAACATGATAAAATAAGCTGATTGATCTTCTTATATATATAATAGATCATTGTGTTGCACAATTCTTATATTTTTATAAACGAATAACTGGTAACGATGATATATATTTGTGTCGGATATATCCAACCGAGTTATCGCCCTTATTACGGAAACTGGTAACTTTTAATTGTTTCATCGTCCCTCGCTTATGCAGTTTTAACACAAATAAGATTCAGAATTATTAAAAATACAGAATGGACGGTACAGACCCCCGTTAGTTTGGTTACACAACGGGAAGCTTACTCTCCGAGATCAAACTTATCCAAACTATAGTATTCTGGGTTACACTTTTATGTTATCGTTACATATCTACTTCTACTAAGTTATTTTCAGATGAAAGTGGTTAAAATGCGCCAAATCACTGAAAGATCCCAGCCGACCACCATACGGTTTTTTTTATCGATTCCAGAAAAATGTATCAATAAAACTGAAGGTCCCGTCTCTAAACACATGTAAATACATGATGTAAGTAGCCTTCAGCCGTAACATACGTACATCAGACACTGATTTATCAAAGTATAATAGCCTATTTTCTGATTTGGTGAAGTTTTGAATCCACCAAGATTTTACAAAATACTTTTGCATTATTTCTATCTAAAAGCAATATGTCCATAACGTGTCGCTATATAGACGCATGGCATCCGATGTCGACAGAATCATCAAAAAACCGTGAAGACAAATGACACACGTAACATCAAAAATATAATAAATTTCAACACACTGTTTCACAATATATGCTATATTTGACCTCAAAAAAATGTAAGAATAATTTGTTTTCCAAAAATGATAATATATGATATTTAAATATTATGTAATTAATCTTAATTCGATTGCATTTTGAATCAATCTTTTCTCAAACATATTTTTACAAAATCTAAATTGAGCTGTCGTATCAATCGGGGCCCCTTCTATACTGCTATATTCACTCTGGTGTATCTACACCGACATAGCATCAGCAAAAACACACATCACATCAGAACAAGATCCGAATAAACAAGAATAAAGATTTACTAGTGTAAAATAATGTTCAATAAATCACGATATTGAAATAAGGTATTAAGATAAATATTATATTTGAAAGCAAAATAATTCATATAGATCAGACTTGATATAAAAATGTCATAAAAACATATTACTAAAACAAATATTTTCATCCGATATTGAAATGACTTATTAAGATAAAGATTTGACGTGACATTAAAACAGCATCGTACTGCCTTAGAGCAAATGTTTCATCTGCTATACAAATAATGTAAAAATAAACTTCTCAGGGTCATATAATGGAGATCATATCTGATATCAATATATTATTGGAATATACATAGTATACATAGTTAGAGTATTAAAATAAATGTTTCATTAAACAACTGTAAGGATACACATGGAATTGATATCCGATATAAAATTAATGTACAAACATGTAGTGTAATAAATGTTTCTTCGGTCATCAAAATGTAAGGATATGCGTGCTAATGTTTTATTATAAATTTATGTTTAATATCAAAATAATGTATAAAATAGTCTGGTGGTTATAATAAACATGTTTCTAATTAAACCCAGTCCGACTGCATTCTTATTTTTTTGTATATACATTAGCCTCCCCTTCATTTAAGTTCAAGTTTGAAAGAACAGCAGCACAACACTTCCGTTAACAATATAGCTCAGTCGGTTAGAGCGACGTATAACAAGTTTAGGGATCGAATTCCGCTCTCTCCCCGCTGATTTTTATTTATCTACTCCACCATTATTTTGTTTAGTAAAAGTCCCGCAATGTATGGTTTCCTTTAAGAAATGATTTATCATAACTACAGTCAGGCTGGAAAAAACAACTTCCAATGCGTCGAAACAGTTTTTGGAAGAGGCAAGGATCCTTAAAATATATTTGACACATAATATGAAAAATATTATTCCTTTTATCTTGCTTTTGTCTTTTAAAAAGATACAGTATATTATCATCTAAAGACAATCATGATTGAATTATACATGCTCTACAACAGAAAAAACATAAATCATTTAAAATAACATGGTTGTTTATTGCAAAAATATTTGATTTGGCCCCTTGCCATGATCACAAAAGTTTATATACAGCAGAGGTTTCGCTGATTTGCAATTTTTCAAATTGTCCAGATAAACACCAGAACCGTTTTATCGTTTACCTTTTGCTTATCGTTGACCTTTTGCTTTGCTATTTCTATCTAACAAAACTGATGACATGATTAGGAATAATGACGATTCGTTTTTTGTCTCTTTAGCGACCTTTGAAAAGGAGAAAAATCTAAGAACTGTAACACTATAAACTGGCCCTTGGTGGCTCTATCCTCCAAGGACATCGTCATTATATGACCCTAGCTGTTGCGAGAAAGTAAAACCCCCAAACCAGATCTATAAAGCTTCACTAACAAATCAAGCCAATTGGAATAATGCTTCGGACAAGCAATAAACAGAATTTGAATGTTAGCAATAGCTTTAACAGTGATCTTTTGGAATGGTCTTGAGAGCTTTGGGCGACACGCTGTACAATCGTGAACATCCAACTTTGTATTTCAATTAAGAACAAAACCATAATTCGAAATCGAAACCCTTGAAAAAGCATAAGAAGAATAACACCATGTGTTCGGAAAGGGTAAGCGTCTTCTGTTTCTAAGACGACGCCCGCAATGTAAATCTAGGTAGACTCAAAGTAACATCACGTCATCACATCAAGACCTCGGGCAGTTACAACAAAACCACAAGGCACTCTTATGGGCATACTCATAATCATCCACCTTCATATCACACAAAGAAATAGCATATTTCCCTGTGAGATAAGGAATAAAACATTTGGTAAAATAAAGTAGAATAATACATTTCAATTAGTTTTAAACATTTTGTGGTACTAACTAGGATATAAATCTAAAAATGAAAAGTTATCAATTTACGACACAGTTCTTGTGCTCATCTCTGTGCCAGTTACCGATCCTCTTGTGAGCTTCTGATTTTGTTTCCGAAGGTATACGATATAGGCAACAGTAAGGAGTATCACAACCAGCATCACTGGAAACATCACCCAAAAGGCCACCTTGTACACGTCTACAAAGACAAATATTGAAGCAAAACTCAATAGCATCCCTCTGTCATTATGGCAGCTTGAAACAATTCCTATCATCAACGTTTGATTAGATTGATATGGTAACAAAGGTTTTAAAAGAACTGACGACCGATGGACACCTCTGTTCACACTTCACATTTTATGAATGGTTGTATACATGAGGAAATACTTGCCCTATTTAATGATGATATCATTAAACCTTTTAAGATTGACCTGCTTGAACTAAATTAAATAGCAGTCCTTATCCTCCCCCTCCCTTTTCCAGCAGTTTAAGCATCCAACTCACCATTTTCCGCAGCTTTGTCTGCCTCAACAACGTCATCCGTCTGTGCCCCAGTACTAGTAGTATTCTTCGTTTCGTATGGAAAACTTCGGCACACTGGAAACCCTTCCGGTGGAGGCAATTTTGATTGCAAGGCAAAAGAATCGTTGATAACCAACCCCATTCCATCCTGGAAGTGTCTAGCTATGTGGCAATGCATCAACCATACACCCCAGTTACCGGCCCTTATTCTCAACACCGCATATGATCCGCTAGGTATTAATAGTGTGTCCTTACGTGGTGGATGTTCTAGTTCCATATCTGGAACATTACCTCCTAGCCAACTCGGGTCACTCCACGTAGCGTTGTTACAGAAACTTTGGTTTTGGTCTCCTTCTCCGCGACAGTTAATGTCCTTGTTTTGTGAGATAACATCACCTGTTATATTGTCATACGTGGCGTATCCCATCTTCAGAACGTAGTACGAATATCCATGGAGATGAATGGGATGCGCTTCTACTCTTCCTTTCCCCATATTTAGAAGAACAAGTTGAACGATTTCGTTTGGGTTTATTGATATTGAATGCATGCACGTGCATATTTTGTCCTCACCACACCCAGCATTATCACATGTTACATCTATTTCTTGGGGTTGTGTTAGAGCTGACACCTTGGGAAGCACGAATTGAATTCCATTCACCGACGCTGGGGTGAAATTCCTCCCAGGAAAACCAAAGTTCAGGAAAAATTCCTTAAACGTTTTATTTCCAGTTGGTGAAGGGGCGGGGTCATTACCTGGCCTCCTCATTTCGTCAAAGCGTTTGCAGATAATGTAATCCGTCTCTGGAAAAAATGAAAAAGGGCAATTGATGACTAAGCATTTAGAAGATGGTGTGCATGGTTTCCTTGAGGTAACGGGATCTATCAAAGAGGCAGTTTTGTACCTCAAAATAGCCTCAGCTCTCTGAACTTCTTTGTCATCAAATGTAACAGCACGAATCCAGTAATTGTCGATAGACTGATTTGCCGTTAATATAAAATCGAACCGTTCTCCTGGACTGAAAATGAATGATTCGGCATTTACAGGATTGAAATCTTTTCCATCGGAGGCAATTAATGTTATGTCATGGTCGTCCACAGATATCCTAAACGAATGCATTGCTCCAACGTTGATCACTCTGAATCTGTACTGTTTTCCTTGTTCAACATTAAACGTTTCCAATGGAGCTTCGTTGTGTTCATTTGTGGTTATATTTGTGTAGTACCTTCCTCTACCGTTTATTAGACCTGAAGTGAAATTGAAACCGGCATAATAATCCTGAACAGCACCCCAATCATGATTCCATCCCTGCACAGTCATGATATGTTCCTCTATTTCACTATATGACTGATTTCGTTCTTTGATTATAAGCGGTCCGTTGAGGCCCATACCTCGTTGCATACCGACATGCGAATGATACCAGTAAGTTCCAGCTGGATTAGCAATGAAGTCAAACCTGAAGGACTGTCCTTGTAGTATTGGGCACTGTGTGATAAAGCCGACTCCGTCCATCCAAGGGGTGTTCTTCTGTAGAAGGCCATGCCAATGCACCGTAACTGTTTCAGAAAGCAGATTGTTGATGACATTAATTATCAATCTCTGGTCCTTGTACACAATGATTGGAAGGTTAGAGAGACTGGAGTTGGCAACAATTACAAGTTTTTCTTGTCCCCATCCGTCCGCAGTGATGACCTCGCTCAAAGGAATTGGATTGATGTCATTAGTATCATCACAATTGTACAGCTGCCCTCCCCGAGCACAAATCTTTTTCCCCGAAACCAGTGAAGTCATCGTTAGCTTGTAATCAATAACGAGGCTTGTTTCACAAATCTTCGCGTCCATATCGCATTCGAAAGATGTGATGTTACCAACACAGACAGAAAACACCAGAAGGACGAGCCTGCAGTATCCCATATTGAACCTAAGAAAAAACAAATATCATTTATACGTATTATATTATTTATTATATATGATAGTATTATACATTATTAAAAGAATATTCAATTAAATATCCTTTTCAAATCTCTGTACATAAACATAGACTTTGTTCCATTTGCACTTGTATTACTGAACAAAAATTTCTGAGAATTGCTAACACTTCGAGATAGATACCTCCTTATTTTCGTATAATTGTTGTTGCAGGTGTCGGTAAGGTTTCAGTTCTAAATGGTGTGAGAGAACGGCAATTTATCTGTGCTTGTCTCAAGTTATTGTCTGACTGGCTGACGCTTATGTGTAGCAACCCTCGTTTTGTATTACAATTATAACAATTAGTGATCCAGAAATAAGTAATATGATTTCATATCAATATTTCTATATTGTTATATGAATCTGTATATTTCTACAACCAATTTATGTTTCAATGACATGGCTTAAGTAGGCTTTGCCTGAAGATTGCTATATTCCTTTTGTATGCAAGAACTATACAATGAAGTTTTCTTTAAAAAGTCAAGAATTCATCTACGTCTGAATGAAAATAAAACCTGCGGTGCGATGATAACGAGTATCGATTTAAAAAGAAAACGGTGACCTCTACCTTGGCTTTAGGAATTTAAAGCATTTTTATATTGGATATTGATATAATTCAATAAGTCATCGTCGAAATAATACGAAAGCTTCATTCAAAAAGTGAAGACTCCGAGAGGTGAGTGACAGATGAATGGGTATCCTGATATATGACTCTCTGTTTGAAATAATACGTGTTTAGTTTCTATGCATACGTGAACGAGAGCTAAACATATGTATTTATATATAACATGCTTCAGTTTCAAAGGGACTGGAAATCGTCAAAACAAAAAAGAAAACTTAAACCAGAACTGAGAAGACAAACAAAACTGGAAAGGCATTATGACCGACTATCAAATCACACTTGACGTGGCGTTTTACCACGTGGGTTTCGATGGTATGCACTACTTATTTTATACTGAAAAAGTCGCTACGATATCTCCCATGAGGGTGGCACGAATGCAGTCTTACCGATACAATGTGATATGCAAGCTTCATAGCACATGGTATTATCTTCCTTATATATGTACTCGTTTACTGTGTTCTGCATATCATGCATCATTGACTTTTTCAGCGGACTGGCATTGTATTATACAATACAGTTAACAGTGTAAAGTGTATTGTTAGATTATTTTAATCTTTCCTTCACGAATCGGAAGCTTACAATGCATCTGTTGTGAAAGAAGCGGAATTCAAATGAATACATCACCCGACACTGTCAATTTCCTACCCTACCCTAATTGTACATTCCAAAAGACATGTTACGTTTCCTGTTGTTGTGATCAATATATCTATGTTTTAGAACAAAAAAGAACAAAATATGAATAAAGGTGGCAAACTCGACAAAGTTTGAAGGAAATCGAGTGAAGCTGTTAAAAGAATTTTCCAGAGAGAATAGCACTCACTAATACGCACCAACTTAACGGGAGTATACATGATCATATACAATGTTCAAACACTACCATAAAACCTAAAGCACATAATTACCATTGGTCCTTTTTAAAATGTAAACTTGGTAATAAAATTTAAGGTTTTGCTCTGACCTACATCACGGGCTACCACATCAAATATATGTACTGATTCTAGATGGGGCTAGGGGGTGAACGACTCTCGCCGGGAGGAGGACTTTCACTTGTCAAGAAAGTGTTAGAAGGCAATTTGTAGCTACATCTCTATATCATGCTAAATTGAGATGTCAAGCCCGGAGCACGGTACATACAAACAAGAGGCCCAATTGGCCTGCATCGCTCACCTGGTATTAATCTCACACTTGTAATCTTAATAATGGACTAAATAACAGCTACATGCAGAATGTAAGTGTTTGATTCATAAGAACCCATTAAAAGATTTAAACATATGACGCCTGTGACCTTGAATGTCGAACAAGGACATTAGGTTGAAAGTGGGAAAAGGTCATTCATTTGAACAAACTTGGTAGCCCTTCATCCTGGCATGCTACAGGCCCAATTTCAGTACCCTTGGCCTTTTGGTTATTGAGAAGAAGTTGTTTGAAGATTTTAAGACATTTAACCCATGTGACCTTGAAAGTGGGTCTAGGTCATTCATTTGAACAAACTTGGTAGCCCTTCATCCCTGCATGCTACAGGCCCAATATCAGTACCCTCGGCCTTTTGGTTATCGAGAAAAAGTTGTTTGAAGATTTTAAGACATTTGACCCCTGTGACCTTGAAGTTGGTCAAGGTCATTAATTCGAACAAACTTGGTAGCCCTTCATCCAAGGATGCTACAGGCCCAATATCAGTACCCTCGGCCTTTTGGTTATTCAGAAAAGGTCGTTTGAAAATTTTACGACATTTGACCCCTGTGACCTTGGAAGTGGGTCAAGGTAAATCATTTGAACAAACTTGGTAGCCCTTCATCCCAGCATTTTACAGGCCCAATATCAGTACCTTCGGCCTTTTGGTTATGGAGAAGAAATTGTTTGAAGATTTTAAGACATTTGACCCCTGTGACTTGAAAGTAGGTCAAGTTCATTCATTTGAATAAACTTGGTAGCCCTTCATCCCAGCATGCTAATGGCCAAATATCATCAGCCTGTGCCTCTTGGTTATTGAGAAGAAGTTGTTTAAAGTATAAAGTTGACGCCGGACGGACGACGGACGGACGACGGACGCCGCACCATACCATAATCTCACTTGGCCCTTCGGGCCAGGTGAGCTAAAAATCAATCTTGATTGACATTTCAAGACAAGAATTTTAGTCGACTGACACTAAATGAAAATTGATTGGTAACGGCGTGTTTTCGGATATGACATGCAATCTCGAGTTTTGGAACATGAGCTTAAAAGACATGGCAAAACAAAAATCGGGCTGTAAAACTGTTGACAGATTGGGCTATAATGCATCGGAATACCATTCCTCTAACGTTTACAAACCCCGATGTATTTTCAAATGCCAGTCGAACTGTAAACAGCATTGGTGGATTTTTAAAAAAAATAGTGGTTTCCTTGACCAATCAGCGACCTCGATTTTTCGGTTCCATATATATCACGAACAAAAAATGTAGTACCGGCCATTTGAAGAAAGCAATCAAGTATTTTTTTTTCCTAAATAGACGGCAGGTCTCCGTGATAAAGAATCGGGAAATCAAGGGCGCTGATTGGTCGAGAAGTAACCCTTGCCTTCTATGTTACGCCTACCTGTCTTAGCATCGACACCAGATTGCAATTTCTTCAATGAAATTCTTCGCAATATTTCAATTCATCATATGCGTATTATGAAATAGTTCAATGTACTTTGGGCCTACGCCTTCTTCTATTGCAGGTAATGAATCGTGTAATAAAGCTAATACTTGTCCAAGCATTCCTCCTAAACGATTAAAATGTATCCAAGAAACAATGGAAAGCTTTCCGTTATTCATATTTTTGACGATTTAAATATTCACTATCATTAAACGACTTTAGTTATTCGAGCGATCAAGAAGTCATTGAAGTCTGGTTATATTTTCATTTCGTTAATTGAAAAAGTGAACATGTAAAATATAGAAATAAGACATTACGTAATTTTGTACCGAATCTATATTTGAACGCAATGTTTCGTTCACAAATTCATTAATGATTTACATTTTCTCAAATACAATGTATATTTTCTTTATTTAATCATCCTTTTCTAATATACGGCTAACTAATACCGGGCGGTTTGAACGCGTATTTGTATCTAAATGGCATTCAACAAACATTATACAAAATGTATTGAGTTTGATACGTGTAAATCAATGCGTGCATTCCTACGAATAAACGTTAACTTTGTCATTCTCACTATGTGTAATATTTTACTGTTGTAAATATAATATTTATGATTGTGTAATAATATATTGCAATTAATTTCGAATTGAACGCCATGTTTTTATATTGTAGATTGAAAAGTCCATACACCGCTGCAATAAAGTAATATGAACTAAGTGTTTTAAATATTTCAGCACAAAACATATAAAAGAAAATCTGAAGAAACGTTTCAACACTTACGTTTTGCTGGATGCAGGTTGGTTAAAAAGCGATGGTCTATAATTTATCATCATGGACCGCTTTTATACTTACAACTAGGTCAAGTATGGTCAGAGTTCTTTAAATACTTTTACATATTAAGGCATTGTTGTTTCTGCAGCAATGCATTCTGATATGTCTGTTAACTTCCTGGTAATAAGATTCACTGTACAGGTATTGATGGGTGGATGATATTTTGAGGTCAAATCCGGGATCTTTAATGCATTTAGAACACGTTATTTTTAAAAGGGGCCACAGTTAATACTGTACCTGAGTCTCAGAAAAAAACCTCAAATGTTTCATTTTAGCATTGAATTAGTCAGGTGTTAAGATCTAACACGTGGTCGTTGATAAATATTTTTTCGAGTCAATATGACCTAGGCGAGTCCCCCACTCAAGACTTTGATGTAATGGGGTCAACAGTTAGTATCACAAAATTGTATGTCTGAGTATGTCTACGGTAAAGCTGTCTACATCGACTGGTAAAATAACCACTGACGGGTTCCACTTTATAAGCTTTATAAGATATAATGATACATCAATGGCGCTAGATAGCAAAGTGGGCCTCCCTGTTGATTTTCAACGTGAAATCAGGAAAGCATTTCAAAAGAAACTCCGTAATAACAAACACACTTTAATAAATATGAAAATTATCTTATTATTTTAAAAAACGGTTTGATGCTATATCTATGTATGATTGTTAACATAACGTATTGTTTAACGTTATTGGATTTTGGTGTCTCAACCAACAAATAGGAGCAAAAATGAATTATCTGTTACTTTGATTTTCCATGGTAACCGTTTGGTATCTTTCGAAAATCTCAAGACCTGATATTGATATATGCATACCTTTTGACAGAATGGTCAATCAAATGCATTCTTTTCAATAAATTTCATAACAGAATAACCTAGT